CAATGGATGTTGTGTATTTTCAACTACGTGTGAAGAGCGACCTAATTATTCCTTCAATAAGCATCGTCTTCTATCCCAATATATAATCTCTACAAAAACAGTCCATAGAAATATTGTACAAAAATGCACTTCGTTTCGTGTAAAACAGGGGTCCTCAAATCTTAATGCGGAGGATATGATGTCAAACGGAGGTCAAACTATCCTAACTTGGCGACTGAAAGAACTGTTGGTGAATGTGATATTGGATAAACCTGTTTCACTGAACAACTTTTGTCAGTAAGTGTTACTGTTGTTCAGGGATGGATCACAGAATAAAGTAGGACATGCATTTAGAATTTATCGACTTTCAGCTTGTGGCTATTTGATGCGCCAACAATTCAGTCTTAGTCCGCTCCAACTAAATACAGCGTGAAGAATCTTGAGGTTACACGTGAACGAAACCTCAAGACACTCTGGAGTAACTAAGATGGGTTCGACACACGCGCTTGCTGTCTGAAGCTGCAGTTCATGATAATAACAATAATTTTCGTATTTAACTTTTGTGCTAAGCCACCAATTTCTATAAACGACTATTTAGCGTTGACCAGTTGGATTGGCCTTTACGTGTGAATATCACCTTGACTTTGACTTCAAATTTCCTATCGAGCTCGGGGGGGGGGGGGGGGCCTTTGCGTTTATGTGGATGTCATGGCCTTACGTCTTGCTGTATTATCGAGGTTAATGTTCGAGGTGAAAGCAGATAACCACGTGATTCCTATTGAGTATTCACTGGTGTCTAAGTTCATAGCTGTGTTTTTCTTTAATGAGTTTGGGTCATTCTATGTGCCTTTGACTAGTCTCTGTCTACGGTTGTATTCCGTTTGACTTGCCATGTTTTTATTTTGTAAAATTCAAATATTTTTCATGTATATAATAAGCTTATATATTTAGCCAGGTGTGCCGCTATTTTTTCATGTGTTCCAAGGTGTGCCAAAGGTGGAGAATCACTGGCTTAGTATGACCATTTTTTTAAGGAGTAGTCAAAAACGTAAACCGTGAGCGATTTCATTTTAGAATTATATTTCTATGATATGGTCCCATTCTCTGATGTTTGTGCCTGAAAAATGGAAATATATTGTCCAATAAATGGACTGTTCACCGAATCGGGGAAGGGGGAGTGATGTAGCCCCCCCCCCCCCCGACTCCTACACTTGTGCAAGGGAAAAGCGAGTGTTCTCAGCATTGGATGGGAATCCAAGGGATGCACGGTTTTCGGACTACCATCGGACCACAGCTACTCTTCGTAGAAAACAGGGGCAAGTGTCAGTTCAAAATCGCCCTCTTTGTCTGATAAAAGTCCAATGTTATATATTTATGCTGCATGTACTTTCACCAAAAAACTTTTAAGCTCTCCATACTTAAAGCTGGGGTTGCGGATTGCTACTTCCTGAATACTTTTTCATAAATCAGAATTCACGAAACATGGTTTCATTGTGGGATTAAGCGTTGACATCCACAATAGTTACATGTATACATACATGTATGTGCTTTGTGATATTATTGTCCGCCCGCCTTTCGTATAAAAGCAGTCTACTATTAAAATTGGTTCATCCATCTGTCTGTCACTCTATTTGGGACACAATAACTCTCCTTCTAATTGAGCTAGAACGTTCAAACTTGGGTGTAGGTGTTTATTACATGTAGGTCATTGCCTTGGTGGAGTTCTTTTTTTTTTTTTAAAGCAATATTTTTATTCAGATTTGTATCTGAATAGGGATTGGGGAACAGGCATAGCCTATATTAAACCTAGATGAGCATTTTCTGCTCAGGGTAAGCAGAGCGATAAGCAATTCGATTGGCCAAGACTTTGGAACACAATAACGCTCCTTTGAATTGAGGTAGAAATTGTTCAAACTTGGTGTAGGTGTTTATTAGGTCAATGCCTTGATGGTGTTCACGGTAAGCAGAGATAAGCAATCTGATTGGTTGATTCTTTGGTACGCGATAACTTTAGTTATAATTAAGTGAAGTATAGATTCATTATATCATTACCATGACTAAGTTCGATGATGAGAATTTTCTGCCTCCGTCCGTCCGTCTGCCGTCTGTCTGTCCGTCACACTTTTTGGGACACAATAACTCTTTCTAATTGAGTTAGAATGTTCAAACTTGGTGTAGCCGTAGGTGTTTATTAGGTCAATACCTTGATGGAGTTCGAAGATGAGCATTTTCCGCTTAGGGTAAGCGGAGATAAGCAATTTGATTGGTTAATGCTTTGGGACACGATAACTTTAGTTCTAATTAAGTGAGAGTGATGAAACTTGGTATATAGTTTCATTACATCGATACCTTGACTAAGTTCGATAATGAGCATTTTCTGCTCAGGGTAAGCACAAGCAGAGTGATAAGCAATTTGATTGGCCAAGATTTTGGAATACAATAACTCTTTTTCTAATTGAGCTAGAATGTTCAAACTTGGTGTAGGTGTTTATGAGGTCAATACCTTGATGGAGTGCGAAGATGAGCATATTTTTCTGCTTAGGGTAAGCAGAGATAAGCAATTTGATTGGTTGATGCTTTGGAACACGATAACTTTAGTTCTAATTAAGTGAGAGTGATGAAACTTGGCTTGTAATTTCATTACATCAATACCATGACTAAGTTTGATGATGAGAATTTTCTGCTTAGGCTAAGGAGCAATAAGCATTTTGATTGGTCAAGACTTTGGAATATAACAACTCTGCTTTTAATTGAGGTAGAATGTTTAAACGTGATGTAGATGTTCATTAGGTGAATGTCTTGACTGAGTTTAATGATTAACATTTCAAGCTAAAGCTAAGCAGAGCTAAGCAATTTCATTGCTCGATGCTCTGGCAGAAGATAACTTTGATTCTATCTGATAGAAAGTGATGAAACTTAGTGTATAGTTGATAATTATTTTGATTGCTTGATACTTTTGAAAAAATAAAGATGCTATTGATTAATATGTATCATCTATTTATTTTGGGATTTCGACATGGGGCTTAAGTTTGACTGTTGGCTTGTTTTTTTTAGCTTGTCCCTATCCATCTCTTGCAAAATGTGGGCGTATCTTGCTTGGCAACCGCTGGTTCAGGATGAACCTTATTGATATCAGCAGTTTCTTGTGAACGCTATAGGTTTTAGCAAATCTTTTTTTATACACCCATATTGAAATGTGGTCGAATATTGTTGTCGCCCCCGTCCGTCCGTTAATATCCAATTGACTTTAAATTCATACACAGTGTTTAGTGTCATAAGACGAAGAAGCCTATTGATTTTCAGCTATTTTCGATAATTACTGTCAGAGTTATGGCCCTTGATCACTTCAAAAAATCTTGTGGACGCTGTAGAGGTAAAAGTTAATATTCGATTAACTTTAAATTTATGCAGTGTTTAAGGTCATGAGACAAAGAAGCCTATTGATTTTCAACGATTTTCGATAATTACTGCCAGAGTTATGGCCCTTGATCACTTCAAAAAATCTTGTGGACGCTCTAGAGGTCAAAGTTAATATCCGATTGACGGTGTATAAGGTCATGAGACGAAGAAGCCTATTGATTTTCAGCAATTTCTGATAATTACTGCCTGAGTTATGGCCCTTGATCACTTTGAAAAATCTTGTGGATGCTCTAGAGGCTAAAGTTAATATCCGAGCCCTTATTCACGAAAACTTAAACTAAGATACAATCAAAATTTTAAGAAATACTGCAATTCAATTGGCTGACCGGTAAAATCAATTTGCATATATCCAATGAAGTTGCAGTATTTCTTAAAATTTCGGTTGTAACTTAGTTTAAGTTTTTGTGTATAAGGGCCCTGATTGACTTTAAATTTATACACAGTGTTTAAGATCTTGAGACGAACAAGTATATTGATTTTCAAAGAATCTTTATGACTTGAACAGCTAAATCCATGATGTTAAAAGTTTTGTATACTAAACGTTAGCATGGGGCAGAACTTTATAAAAACCAAACAAATTCTAATGGTTTTCTGATAATTACTTAATGAGTTGTTACTCTTAATCAGATTTTAAAGTATTATAAATGTTTCATTACCGAAAAAAGTAAAAATATGTGACAACTCTTGTTGACTGCCCGGACGATATTGCTGCTGTGGGCGTTTGTTTCGTTGCCTGGCAACCTATCTTTCAAAATTGGTTGAAGGTGATGTGGTTATAAAAGGATGAACCTTTAGAGATTAGATTTCTTCAAGGATCCTCATCAAATTTGCTCAACATCCAAGTTTTCCTGTCAGTCAGATAAGCTGCAGTTTGGACAAAGCTACTATGTTTGCATATTCCACTCAAATATCCCACACTTTGCGTTCTATCTTTACACTTAAAGAAAATCATGATACTTTTGAAAAAAAATAGATGTGCGATTAATTAATATGTGTCATCTATTTATTTTGGGATTTCGGCGGGGGACATCAGCCTCACTGTTGGCTTGTTAACAATGTAATACCGATGTTCATTAGGCATAAAGGATGGTCCTTTCTAGTATATATATTTGTAGACAAGCTGTCGCAAATTTTCCGATAGTGCTGACAGAATTCATGAAACATGGTTGCATTGCCTCGTTGAAATTAACATTTGACACCCAAAATAGCTAAATACATGTACAGTATTTGTGTTGATACGATTCACGACTCTAAAATACTGATGAAAATTAGGAATAAAGGATACTTTAGTATATACATGTACATGTATCGGTAGGCTTTAGTTAATTTTAATAACCAATTTGCGAAGGGTATGTACAGAAAGTCACATGCGAACAGTTAACCTGCATTATTGTGGACACTAAAAGTAGAAGTCACAATTTTTATCCAATTTTGAGAAACTTGAAATGTATGTTTATAATCCAAAGATCTTGGTTCCTTTCGATATTTGCGCAGATCAGACCCTAACCTCCTGATTTCTAAGTAGTGGCTAATCACTATATTTGAAATGCATATTCCTTCTATTATTGTTATTAACTTTATTTTTTTATTCCACTTTTTAGCAGGAGACAGAATTTTCACATGGAGATGATTTATACGATGATGTAATTACAGCTCCATCCAGTTCAGATCCTGCTGAAGTGAATGTAAGAGAATACTTTCTAACTTGTGATGGGTTGACCCACCCATTTCATTATGCCTTGAGATCTGAAAACATGCGGGAGTGACAAAATATGTTTTCTGTATACAGTAGAATCTGTATGAGCAGCCACTCAGCGACATCTTTTAAGCAGTCACGATAAATTCCCCCCCCGTAAAAATTCCATTGTTTCATCTCTTTAATCAACGGTCACTCCTCTAAGGCGGCCAGCCGTCACTATTGTTGTCGCCCCCGTCCGTCGATCCGTCGGTCGGTCCGGTGTCCACAATTGCTTGTGGACGCTCTATAGGCTAAAGTTAATATCCGATTGACTTTAAATTTATACACTGTGTTTAAGGTCATGAGACGAAGAAGCCTATTGATTTTCAGAGATTTCCGATAATTTTTGCCAGAGTTATGGCCCTTGATCACTTTGAAAAATCTTGTGGATGCTCTAGAGGCTAAAGTGATACACAGTGTTTAAGGTCATGAGACGAAGAATCCTATTGCATGGCTCGAAATGTTCGCCTGTCTACTTGTCACCGACAGGCGATTTTTTCGTCTGACAGGTAGCAAATAAAACTACCTGTCCCTTGCGACAGGTGGACTAAATTTTACTTGATGTTCAGTAAATTGACCACAATACTCACGTCCACATCACGTACATTTAATTATTTGTTTCTAAATGCAAGAAGTAAGCACGGAAATACCTCGAAAAGCCGCCATTTGCAGTGTTTACATTTCGCTCTGTCGTAGGCTACAGTTACTCACACAGTTTGGAAGTAGACAATTTTATATCAATGAATTTCACACCATCTACGCTTGTTTTCATCTGCTTGAGACTAGTTTGTAGCATTATGGAGTATTATATCTAAATAAATTAAAATGCACCCCGAAGTCACCTGAAATAATTCTACCGTAACGACACCACAGTAAATATAGTAGTGGTTGGAATGGAAATTCACACGGCTCGTTGCTTGGTGTATTTAATCATTTAAAAAGTTTTAAACAATTTCCATAAATAAAGGCTATGAATAATTTATAAGACAATTTGACAAAATCAAAAAATCAGGTCGGAAAAATATTTCAGATATAAATATAATTTGTAGCGTAAATATAGCCCGGATATGTGAGAAGGGAATTCCAGGTGGCGTTATCTGTCTTTGCACGTGGTACATGTTAATACAGTGCCATGCAGTATCACAGGTGTGATTTGTGATATTTTAAAATCTGAATTCTACAACTGTGAAGTATTCGATTTAGTACGGAAGTGTGGTACCATGATACTTTGCGGAATTCACGTGGATACGGATGATAGAATTGGACGAATCTTCGAGTCGCTGAGCCAAAGCAGATTTGCTTAGGCAATCCGATGTCGAAGAAATGAAAAGGTTTCATATTACGATATTTATATAGAGCAATGTACGTCAAAGACCTAACCACGTGTGTGTGTGTACCTACATGTACATGTATGGATATGTGGGATTTGATTAGGGTTTCACACTGCGTAGCTTGTGTGAAACACTATTGTTTTTGTTAAGATTATTATTCTTCTTCTTATTATTAGGCTTTCAGGATAAAGCTATTTTGATCGTTCTGCGACAATGTGAAATGTCCGAAATCACCGAAGCTATCGTTTTTAGAAATATCGCAGTAATTTTAACAATAATCATTGGATTTTAACTTTCGATACATTTTGGCATAGCCGGACACAGGGCACATAGCTATGCTACTTTTGATTTTTGATTTTCGGCAAATCTTCACAGATATTAGGCGCCAAATTTCGAAAATTAAAATTTTTACAAAAAACTTTTTTATTTATGAATATTTTTAAGTCGTGCTTTACACAAAATTAACGAGTCATCTGACTTGAGCAAAAATCTAAAAAAATTTTGTCTCCGTAATATTCCTTGGCCGCCATTGGCTAATTCAGTTTTTCAGTCCTAGATTAATTATTTATTGTTCGATTTGTATAATACAAAGTTCATATACCCTGTTGTCTCAATTCCCATTTTTTTTGTTCCCGATAGAGTTATCTGTCGGCACCGGAAGTGGCGTAATTTTGCCAAAAACTAAAATTTTGACAGTTAGGTACCACTTTTCGAAAGCCAATATTATTTTTTGTCCCCCGCCTTTCGAAGAAAGCAGGGGACTATTAAAATGGGTTCGTCCGTCTGTCTGTCCGTCTGTCTGTCCGTCTGTCTGTCCGTCTGTCTGTCCGTCTGTCCGTCCGTCTGTCTGTCCGTCTGTCTGTCCGTCACACTTTTTGGGACACAATAACTCTCTTCCTAATTGAGCTAGAATGTTCAAACTTGGTGTATGTGTTTATTAGGTCAATGCCTTGATGGAGTTCGAAGATGAGCATTTTCCGCTTAGGGTAAGCAGAGATAAGCAATTTGATTGGTTGATGCTTTGGGACACGATAACTCTCTTCCTAATTGGGCTAGAATGTTCAAACTTGGTGTATGTGTTGATTAGGTCAATGCCTTGATGGAGTTCGAAGATGAGCATTTTCCGCTTAGGGTAAGCAGAGATAAGCAATTTGATTGGTTGATGCTTTGGGACACGATAACTTTTAATTGAGCTAGAATGTTCAAACTTGGTGTATGTGTTTATTAGGTCAATGCCTTGATGGAGTTCGAAGATGAGCATTTTCCGCTTAGGGTAAGCGGAGATAAGCAATTTGATTGGTTGATACTTTGGGGCACGATAACTCTCTTCCTAATTGAGCTAGAATGTTCAAACTTGGTGTATGTGTTGATTAGGTCAATGCCTTGATGGAGTTCGAAGATGAGCATTTTCCGCTTAGGGTAAGCAGAGATAAGCAATTTGATTGGTTGATGCTTTGGGACACGATAACTTTAGTTCTAATTAAGTGAGATTGATGAAACTTGGTGTATAGTTTCATTACAGTAATACCTTGACTAAGTTTGATAATGAGCATTTTCTGCTCAGGGTAAGCAGAGCGATACGCAATTTGATTTTTATATGTGTCCTCTAATTATTTTCCTATTTCGGCGGGGGACATCAGCCTCACTGTTGGCTTGTTTCAAATCTGGTATAACTGAAAGGGTGCGCCCTTTAACCCTTTCATTACTAGTGAGTTTTATAATGTATGACGCCAAATCCTGACAATATTCAGAAAAAACGTCGAAAAAATATGCGAAATGTTCATGTGATTATAGCTCAGAACCTATCAACTTTCAAAGAAGACAAGTTATGATTTTCTGAAAGGAAATTGAATTCTCTTTCCAATGGAGTCAACTAGAAATATGCATCTCTCATCACTACTTATGTATCATAAGATGTATCTGAAAAAAAATTTGAAATTTTTTTCAAGATAACCTTTGGAGAAAAACTTAATGCTACAAAGTTCAAAATTAATCTGACAAGTTAATTTCATTTTAAGGAGAATTTAATTTCCTTCACAATGGTACAATATTTTTGAAAATCTGATGGTAAATAAAAAAATGGCAACCATTTTAGTAAAAGAGTAACAAAGTCGTCAACCGTACTGTGATTGTTGCGACGGAGGAAACCGTTAGGTTGTCGACATATTTTGCTTACCTTGACTTATTTAACTTAATATTAATGTACAAAGCTGTAGTTTTTAAGGCTTAATGGTGTTAACATGTATTCCATTGAAAAAGCTCAATATACAAAAATAAACAATTTTTTGTTGAGTTTCTGGGTGCTATCATCAAATTCGGGCGGCGACCTCAATGGATTGGATTTATGTTATTTATACTAGGTAAATCTGTTGTATACATGTATCTGAAGGAAGATATCCAGAAACATTCTGGGGAAAAAATGAGAAACACCAAAGAGTTTATAAAACCATCTTTATACATGTACATGTATATCTTTCAAACTTGTAAATTGAACTCAAAACTTTTTAAATTGTAACTCAAACTTCTGAACTCAAACTTCTGAACTCAAACTTCATAAAAGTGAACTGGGTAACATAACTCTGAAATAAATAAAAAGTAAAAATTAAAACTAGAACATAGTCCATTTTAAAATCAGCAAAATATCAACAAATCTTTGGTCCAAGTTCATTGTTATTACAAATGTCTATTTTGACTGAGATGCATGGTACAGTGGAAAGCATGTTTTACACAAATTAACAGAACAGATATTGCATCCGAATGACGATTGGATCCCTCTACCACTTGGTGCGCGTTTTCCTGAGGCACTGCACAAAACACACACACGTTTGCGCCCAGAAAAATGAACTAGCGAATGACCAGATATGTTGCTTTCATCGAACACGTTTTCTAATTTACGTTTTGGGGTGCGTCTGTAACTTTTAGAAACTGCTCCACCAATCAAACACTTAGCCAGCGAATGACGAAATTCAAGTTGAGTCATTGGGGTTTTACCCAGTGCTTTCATGTGAAGCTTATAAATCAGAAAGCTGTTTACACATGCAACATTTAATAAAAAGTAAAACAAATAGCGCCACCATTTTAGGCTTGTACGGCCAAAAGAATAGTATTGGCGGAGCTGGTCACCCAAGTCTACTCCCCCCATACATTTGTTGTAATTAATTATGCAAAGTGGTTTTGAAACATTTTCAATAATTCCAGCTCTTGTTCTGCGTTGTACTACCGACATTTCAGCATCACAGTTCGTAGACAAAATGTGCACCGTCTTTTTATCCTGCCATGCTGTTGCGATCAAGTTGTTACTTTGAATAAATTTGGTACTGCCTTTAGCAAGTTTATGAACATGTGATAGTGGATAGTATTTCCTATTGGACCGAATAGTACCACAGCAGTATGTCTTTTTATTCAAGAGTTCAATTGCCAAATCAATACTAGTGAAAAAATTATCGAAGTAAACATGTCGATACTCGTATAACATGGTTTCCATAAGGTCCATAACAACCTTGTGTCCAAGATTTTTTTCTTGTACTCCGTCGAGGCTTTTGCCAGTGTAAACATTGAAGGCATGTACGTAACCTGTATCAGACGCAGCAGCAATCCAAACTTTTATACCTCTTTT